GAGTGAAGGGAACAGAACCAGGAGAACATTGCACACAGCAACAGCAGTATTGTGTGACGATCAGCTATGATAGGCTTAGTACTTCACAGCAATACAATGCTCAAAGATAGTTCCAAAAGACTCATGATGGAAAAAGTTACCCACTTCTAGAGAAAGAACTATGGAATCTGAAAACAGATTAGAGCATACTGTTTTTTTTTTATTTTTATTTTTTTCTTGTGGTTTTTCCCTTTTGTTCTAATTCTTCTTTTACAATATGACTGATGTGGAAATACATTTAATACTATCGGATATGTATAATCTGTATCAGATTGCTTGCTGTTTTAGGGAAGGAGGAGAGGAGGGAGAGAGAAAAAAATTTGGAACTGAAAATCTTATAAAAGTGAATGTTGAAAACTATCTTTACATGTAATTGGAAAAAAATAAAATACTTTCAAGTGGAAAAAAGGAGGAGCGTTTGAGAGATAAGAGGTAAATTTTATAAGTTTTAATAAAGATCATTTGTAGGAAACTATTATAGATTGGTTTAAGAAAAAAAATCTATAAAATGCTGCCAGTTCACAGACTAATAATATGAAAACAATGGTTTACTTGTTCTCTAATTTCTTTGTAGTTACAGTCTTTTGCCTGCTCTAATATTCTGTATTCAATGCTCCTGTATTCTAAGATCACCTTCAGTTTTAACACTTCACATTCTAATATTTCTGTTCACTCCAAAACTATATCCTGTTTTGTTTCATTGCTAGTGCTTAATAAATGTTCTCTCTGTCTCTTTCTCTCTCCATTCATCTATCAGTTTATCTATGGATCTATCTACCTCTGTCTGTCTGTCTGTCTGTCTGTCTGTCTGTCTCCATCTATTTGTCTTTTGGTCTCTTTTATCTAAACATTCAATAATTTTCTGATTTCAGATGGGCTTCAGTCTCCTCTGTCTCATAGATCTTGGGCTAGCTATCTTCTAAGAATGGAGGCAAACTTCCAGATATGCTCTAGTTTTTGTCCTCTAAATATATTTAAATTGGTAGTGATGTTGTATCACAGATGTCTGGTGAGAAGATTGCATGCTCACTCTAAAAGCCAAAAAAAAAAAGGAACCATGAAAATGAAATATATGTCTGTGATTTCACGAAGGCCCCATAAACTAAACAACACCCAATGGTGTTATGGACTCCCTTTAAATTTACAATCTGCTGTCAGCAGAGTTGTTTTCCAAGACAGCAACAAAGTAAAGGTTGCTTTGTTGCTACAGAAAGAGGGGGAGAAACAGAGATGGGGATGTGAGGGGGGGCACAAGGAGAGATTCATTATTTTATTGCTCTATATGCTAAAAACCAGAGTTTAACTTATACATCACAACTCTACTCTTGATTCTTTTTTCTCCACTTTTTTGAGCAGGATAGCCCCCACTGATTGGTTGGTAATGATTTTTCAACCTCACTCAAGAAGTATTTAATAAGTATTATCATAAGCAGAGCACTATTTTAGAGTCATATGAAAATGAAAAGGAAAAAAAAAAGATTAGTCCCTGCACTCAAGAGTCATACTACCTAGGAATAAGATACACCATGAACAAAAATAATGTAATGAAGATTGTCTAAAAAAGAACATAACAACTGCATACTAAATTATTTCTTAAGAAAAAAAAATCTGATTTGGCATGAAATAAGGAAGAATTCTTGGAAGATGTGGTATTTGAGATAGTCTAGGAGCAACTGTTTCTGTCTTTAAAATTAATTATCCAGATGTGGACAGAGGCGTTCCAGGCACATGGAATGGAGTATGAAAAAATATATGGAGGTAGGAAATTAAGTAGCATGGAGAGTCATTATCATTTATTGCCTCATCATTCCTAATAATTCTTAATTATTTCATAGAATAATCTTATTAAAAACAATAGATAGAATAAAGCAGAAGTTACCATATTTCATTTGGCTCTATATACTGTTGAACCAAATTTGGTTAATGGCCATGTGACAAGATGCCATGGTTAAGACAATTTCCCTCAAATAGGCCAGCTAAATTATCAAGTTTCAAGGTCATGTGTCTTAGTCCTAGGTGATATTCCCCCAAGCCCTTTCCAAACCATCAGGTAAATTGGCATTGTTCTGGGGGGGAGCAGGAGCTTCATGAAAACATGTCAATATATCACATCTGTGAAAACAATTAGGAGGCTTGGGAGTCAGAGCATTTTGCTTCAAATATTCTTTGTACCCATTACTATTTATAGGACTTAGACAAGTTATTTCCCCTCTCTTGTTTACCTATGCAATATTTTGTATCAATCTTCACTGACCATTGCGACTGTGAAAGTCCATATCCTCATTGCCACTACCTACATCTAAAGATAAATAAGCAGATGAATGAATGACTAAATGATATGATAAAATAATAAGTGACTGAATGTTCCTTTTAAAAAAAAGATTTATTGAAGCCTTTTGTTTACACATCACCATCCTTTCTCAAAATACCAAGTTCCCTTTGAATTATCATTTTGGGGCAGAAACAAAATTAAGAAAGCCAACCAAAACAACTACTAAATCTGGTGGTATATGAAGCACTGTGTACCTCTAGTCTTGCAGTGTTTTATGGAAATGAGGGAATTGTGTTTAATCATCATGGGCAAGATTTTTAATCAAAGCTTAGATGATTTTTGTGTGCTATTTTAGTTTACATTATTTTAGTTGTGTGTACTGTTCTCCTGGTTCTGTTCCTATGACTGAATTAGTTGCTGAAGGGCTTCCTAGGTTTTTCAGAATTCCTGAAATTCACAGGATCATAGACTTAGAGTTAGAAGAGACATTAGTATTCAGAGTCTAATTCCCTCATTTTGGAAACTGAGGCCCAGAGAGGTAAAGAGACACACAAAGGTTCACACAGTTATTAAGTTTGAGGTGGTATTGAAACAAAATTTTACTTTCATCAGTACAGATGAGAATTCAATCTTCTTTCCCCATTATATCCATGTACTAAAATTATTCACTCATGAGAAAAGTCATTAGATACTCATTTTGTTTCTGCTTCTAGCTAACTCCAGTATGCTGCTGTAAATAAGTTGGTATTTATAGGAGCATTATTTTTTTTCACATTCTTGGTCTATATGCCCAATAAAGGGATCCTGGCTTGGTTTTTACAATAGACTCCTAACATACATTCTTCTTGACACTGTCTTTCTTCTCCAATTCACCCTCCATAAAGAGACATACAAACATTCCTCACAACAGACCTTTAGATGCCATTCCAATCTACTCAAAACCCATCAATAATTCATTTTTACCCAATGAATCAAACTCAACCAATCAACCAATATTTGATTTGATTTGTTGAAGTGCAGACACCTCAGCTTGACTTTCAACACTCTTCATAATAGGACATACCTCTATTTTTTCTGGCCTTATCCCATTCTACTCTGCTCTTAATGTGTCATGCCCCAGTCAAAGTGCACTCCTCACCACCTACTTCCAGACTCAGGCCAGTTTACTGTGAATGGTATGCTTTATCAACCCCAGACTTCTATTTGTTGCATTCCTACCCATTGTTAATGGCCATCTCTAATACCTCTTCTCCATAAATGCTTCCCTGGCCCTTCTTAACTCAGACAACATGTAACACTTTGATTATACTTCTATAATACATTTATTTGGCATCACTTTAATTATCATCCATTTATATTATGTACTCACACATATTATGTGTTCATATTTTCTATTTTTAACTCCATTAAGGCAGAGGCTGTATCTTGCTGAATGTTTGCATTTCTTCCAATGGGAAGTATAGTGCTCTCCAGATGAGGACACTTAAAAAATAGATTGGAGCTCAATGCAGTCTTTCTGAAACACAGGTGGATCCACCATTCAGGTGAAAAATGGCTGACAATTGGTCTTCGAGGATGAGATTAATTTGATGAAAAAGCTCAAAATCATAAATAATATTGGCTCCAAGAAATTCTTCCTTTGTAGGAAATGAAAATAGGAGTTACTTGTGTTTTGGACAAATTTTAAGCATAGGAGTTAAACATGGTTTTTTCGTTCCTCTAAGAAAAAAAAAACACAAACACTTTCAGGCTCTAGAGAGTCTTTCATTGTTATTATTATTGCAACTTACAATTCTCAGAAGGTGAATGTGGCTGTGTTGACATGTTTTGAATGTCTAAAGCAATCACGCTCCCTCTGGATTTTTGGATAATGCTTACCACAAGGGAAATACAATTCTAGACATATCGACAGATTGTGCACTCATCAAAATATATCCAGAATATACCCTTGGAGATGGTTTAACAAAATAAAACAGGCTCTCAACTTTCAAACTTTGGAGGAATTCCACTAAACCTAAGTTATTACCTTAGTGGAGGTAGGCACTACCAAAAGTCTGGTTAGAATACACCCCATGATTCATCTTTTGTTAGATATCACAATTAATTCCAGGTTGACAAATGAAAGGAAATTCATGATTAATATTATAATAATAACTAACATTTCCATAGCCCTTTAAGATTTGCTCAATGCAAATTTGATGTAGCAAGTGCAAATGGTTTTATGACTCCAATTTTGCAAATGATGAATGGAGGATCATAGAGGTAGAATGACTTGCCCAAGGTAACACAATGTCACTATTCCTCCAGGACTTAATATGTCATGGATCCAAGATTTGACTTTTATTGGTACCCTACTATTTTATATTAAGTGATCTTTGAGAGCTTCTGTATCCCTCCAAAAAATTATCACCTGGTTATTAGTGTCTATAAACCTGGATAGGTCACTGGAAAGTAAACATACAATCCAATTACAATCCCAAACTCCAAGACTTTCTAACATGGTCAGATCTATTAGAGCATTACCTCTACTGAAATGGTGTTGTTGTTATTTTGTCATTTTTCTGTCATGTCTAGCTCTTCATCACCCATTTGAGGTTTTCTTAGAACAGATACTGAAATGATTTGTCATTTCCTTCATCATCTCATTTTGCAGATGAGGAACTGAGGTAAATAGAATTAAATAACTTACCCACATTCACACGCCTAGTAAGTGTCTGAGGCCTAATTTGAACTCAGGAGTCTCCAAATGTAATCCATAGTAGACTAGTAGAGAACGGTGTAGAACATGACCAGGAGATACAGGGTAAAATCTATGAATAAATAATAAGATCAGAGAGGGTAATCCATACCTTGAGAATACCAGGAAGCTGAAGGTCCACGTGTTAACAGTTGTCAAGATCCAAATGAGTAATAAGAAGCATATATGAAACACCAGACAGAAACACCAAAAGAGAGACAAAACCTTCATTCAACAGGATGCCTCATATTCTTCCAACTATAGAAGGAACAAATTGCTTACTTCCAAGACCAGGGTAGTTCAGAGACTAGAAGCCCAGTCTATTATAGTATAGTAACTCGCTATTGCTGGTACGTCTTTAGTCATATAAATAATAACATTTCCTCCAAGCTTCAAAAATATTTTTCTACTTAGTGAGAATTGTTACAATAACATTCCTTGGGGCACCTAGGTTGCATAGTGGATAGAGCATTGGCCCTGGAATCAGAGGACCTGAGTTCACATCTGGCCTCAAACACATGATCATAGCTGTGTGACACTGGGCAAGTCACTTAACCCTGATTGCCTCACCGGGAAAAAAAAAAAAAGATAACATTCCTACAGTATCATTTCCAGAGGATAATAGTGAACTTCTTCAGCTCAGTAGTTTTCAGTATATCGTATCCCTGATTTTTTTTTTTTTACTAGGCAAGAAAAAACTGAAAATTTCAAAGTCCATCACATTTTCCCTAAGGATATAAATCAACTCCATTCTTAGATCAATGGCTTCAATGGAGTTTGCCTTTAAAATATCAATTTTTGCAGCTGGGAAATAGTTCAGATATTTCTCATCCACTCCTTGTGCCAAGTGATCATCAGCATTACCGACATTGGGGTAGGTGGGTGGGTACTGAGTAGTCACAACCTGGCATATCATAAAAAGATGGCAAAGCAGCTCTCAAACACAAAGGACATTGGCATAGGAATAAAATGGTTAGAAGGAATTATTGCTTAGTGGAGGTAATCATTAGATTGAAAGTAAATGACTTTTGACATTAGGAGACTACTGGTGATTGGATTGGCCAACTCTGATTTTGCCTAGGTAGACCACAAGTAGATCAAATGGATATGGAATGCCAGGAAGCATTGGGAGTAGCCACAGTCTTGGCCTGTTTGATATGCAGTCATGATGGTGCCAGAGGTCTCTGGGTTCTTATCCTATTGACTGAGTTGTTGTTGTTTCCTAGGGGTTTTAGTGGTTTTGATATTCAACAAGTCAACAGGAGGATGAATAAAGTGAATTCATTATTATGTTGCTGTTTTTATAACAACAACAAGAACGTTTGTATAGTACTTGAAAGTTTGCAAAGCACTTTACATAATACTCTCACAACAATCTGGTGAAATACATATTGTTATATCCATTTTATAGATGAAGAAACTGAGGCACGGAGGAGTTAAGTGTCTTACATAGAGTCTTACAACTGTTAAATGTCTCAGGAATAATTTAAACTCATATTTTCCTGACCCCAACTCCAACATTCTATTTCAATATACCTGTCTATCTAGGGGTAGACAAGTAGAAACCAGTAATAGGATTATTACCAGGGATAGATGAGTGATAAGAAGAGTTGCCCTACACTCTATTTTTAGGTCCGTACCTGAAGGAACCTGAAATTCATCAGACGTATATTAAGAATCTATAGTAAAGCACTCTGTGAAGTCTTTTCCCACTAGGAAAGGGATCATCACCAAGAAGACAAAGTTTCTGTCAGTCATATAGCATTTTATTTTTAGTTTCCAATAGAAATACTTTGAACCTTTAAAGTATCTATAATTTCATAAGTGTGAGTTCTTTCTCTTTTGCTGCAGGTTATTACCTCTTTATTTGTTCTTATTCTGAGCAACTTTTATCTTTCTCTTTCCGTAAAGGCTCCATAGAATCCATCCAACATTCTGGAAGTCTTCCTCTGGCTCCTTTTGTATCGTGGGGGGTAGGGGTATAGATAAATAGTACAGTCCTATTCACCATCTCTCAGTCTTGATGTATAATTATCCATCTCCTTTTTTTCAGGGACACATGTCCATAACCATATTTTTCGTATCATATCTCCTATTATCTCATGTGTGTCATTAGCAATGGATTTCCCTCATGCATCTTTCCATTACTCTTGAGATTATCTATTATTTTTATTCTGAGACTTAGATTTTCCCAGATTTGTTACATTTTAGTATTATCAGGAGAGTATTGAAAAGAAAAAAGGACTCCACATTACTCCCGAATCAGACAGGGGATTAAATCAATCACTTCAGTAGGTATTTATTAGCCAGCTGTTCTTGCAAATCACTGGCACAGAATTTGTGGATAAAAAATGAAATATGACACAGTTCCTGGCCTCAAGGGGGTTCTATTCCACTGAGGAGATACAACAGGCACAAATGAGATACAGATAAAGTGTTATAGGGAAATTTAAAAAGTGACAAATTGCTTTCAGTTCGCAGCATAAGGAAAAGCTTCATGAAGAACATAGTACCTGAACTTGGGTTTGGAAAGGAGAAAGATTTCATCACCTGGAATTGAGCAAAAATGCATTTTCGTCATGGGAGATATCCTTGTTGTTCAGTCATTTTTAGTCACGTCCAACACCTCATGACCCCATTTAGAGTCTTTTTGGTAAAGATACTAGAGTGATTTGCCATTTCCTTCTGCAGTTCATTTTAGAGTTGAGGAAACTGAGGTAAATAGGGTTAAGTGGCTTTACCAGGATCACATGGCTAATAAGTGTTTGAGGCCAGATTTGAACTCACAAAGATGAGTCTTTCTGACTCCAGGCCCAGCACTCTATCTACTTATGGACCTAGCTGGGAGACAGCCTATACACATGAAAACAAGCAGAAAATGGCAGGAAAATATAGGAGAATCTTTGACTGATCCATTTGACTTAGAGTGCATATAATGAAATGAAGTTATAAAGACAAGTCTGAGACAATCTGAGGAAAACTTTAAATGCCAGGCAGTAGGATTTGCAATTTGTCTCATGGGGAAAAGGGAGATAATGACAGCTTTTGAGTGGAAGGTTAATATGATCAAACCTGTGCTATAGGAAGTTGATTTTGATACCTGTGTGACAGGTGAGCTAGAGAAAAACCTGGAGGAAAGGAGAGTTAGGGGCTATTATAAGAGTTCAGAAGAGAGGTAAATGAAGGCCTGTGATAAATGGTTTGGGGAGAACACAGACTGATGAGTGAGGCACTGTGGAGGTAGCATCAGGGACATGAGTCAATCAAGTGGATGTGGCAAGTGACAGAGGGAAGTCTGAGGTTTGGCAGCAATGCTATCCTCATTAACAAAAGAAAATGTTGGAAGCAGAAAAAGTAAGGGACTGATGAATAGTTTGGTTTAGGACATTTGAGTGAAATATCCACTGGACAACTAGAGATAGGAACTCATAGAAGAAATTAAGGCTGAATACCTAGATTGGAGAGACATTTAAATAGAGGAAAAATTTGAAATATTGTGAGCAAATGAAAAATGATATGAGAGTGAAGAAAGCAAGAAACTACTTCTCTTAGAAGTCAAGAAGAGCCAATGAAGAGAATGAAGAATTTCTATATGGAGGTAACATAATACAATGTGCACTGAGGTTGGAATAAGAAACTTCTTCTACCTGCAGGAAAGCAGCACATCATTTGAATTCATAGCCTTACTCTCATCTATAAAATGGGGACAATAATAGCACCTCTCTCACAGGGAGTTGTAAAGAATAACTGCAATATGAATTAAAGCACTTTGAAAATTTAAATTATCTATTTGGGAAAATAGGTGAAGAAGGAGTCTTATGAAATTCTTTCTATGATACAAATATGGTGTTGATACCTAAACCAGGAAGAGTCAAAATAGAGAAAGAAAATTATAGACCAATTTCTCTAATGAATATAGATGCAAAAATTTTAAACAAAACATTAGCAAGTAGATTACAGCAACTTATCACAAGAATAATACACTGCGACCAGGTAGGATTTATGCCAGGAATGCAGGGTTGGTTCAATATTAGGAAAACTATCAGCATCATTGAGCATATCAACAACAAAACCAACAGAAACCACATGATCATCTCAATAGATGCAGAAAAAGCTTTTGATAAAATACAACACCCATTCCTATTAAAAACACTAGAAAGCATAGGTATAAATGGAGTCTTCCTTAAAATAATAAATAGCATATATCTAAAACCTTCAGCAAGCATTATATGTAATGGGGACAGCTAGAAGCATTTCCAATAAGATCGGGGGTGAAACAAGGATGTCCATTATCACCACTGTTATTCAATATTGTACTGGAAACCTTAGCTTTAGCAATAAGAGAAGAAAAAGAAATTGAAGGCATTAGAATAGGCAAAGAAGAAACAAAGCTATCACTCTTTGCAGATGACATGATGATATACTTAGAGAATCCTAGAGAATCAAGTAAAAAACTACTTGAAATAATAAACAACTTTAGCAAAGTTGCAGGCTATAAAATAAACCCACATAAATCATCAGCATTTCTATATATTACCAACAAAGCCCAACAGCAAGAGATAGAAAGAGAAATCCATTTAAACTTACTGTAGACATTATAAAATATTTAGGAGTCTACCTCTGAAACAAACCCAGGAACTCTATGAACACAATTACAAAACACTTTTCACACAAATAAAATCAGATCTAAATAATTGGAAAAACATCAGTTGCTCATGGGTAGGCGAGCTAATAATATAATAAAAATGACAATCCTACCTAAGCTAATTTACTTATTCAGTGCCATACCAATCAAACTACCAAAATTATTTTATAGAGTTAGAAAAAATAATAACAAGATTCATTTGGAAAAACAAAAGGTCCAGAATATCAAAGGAACTAATGAAAAGAAATGCAGGGAAGGTGGCCTAGCAATTCCAGATCTTAAATTGTATTATAAAGCAGCATCATCAAAACTGCTTGGTACTGGCTAAGAAATAGGGAGGTGGATCAGTGGAATAGGTTAAATATGCAAGACACAGTAGTCAATGACTATAGTAATCTATTATTTGATAAACCCAAAGACCCCAGCTT